GCATCTGTGAGAATTTCTGAAATTACCACCTATTATTAGTCAGCTAGTTAAAACCGAGGTCAAACAATGGAGAAAAACAAGTTGTATAGCATTTTTTAGTCAAGTGTTTTTACACTAGTGAAAGTCAGAAGCATTCAGCCATGTCCACTTAGCAGTAGAAGCAAGGTTTTTACAAAAACAAAATCTAAGAATACAATGCAGATTTTTTCCAAGTGTGTGGGGTTGTCTTTTTAGCTTGTCTCCTCCTACATGCATGAAGACCAGCAACACTAACTTTTCTGTAGACTAGCAGTGGATTTTTCTTCTTCAAGATCAAATCACTTGCATCGTTTTCAAGCAATCTCTCAGTTCTGTTTCTGCAACTTGATACTAACTATGATTCTCCAGGAACTGACCAAACTGTCCAAGCATCTGCCTTATCCTCGCATTCATATCAAGAGGGCTTTTAGCCAAACCAAAGACAGCAGTGAAGAAGCATGATCATTATGTGGTAAATACAACTTAGCAAATAAATGTCCCAGTTATTATCTACTACAAAACCACTGTGGAGAGGTCATGCATTGTTGAAGTAGGGATAGGATTTTCAGATCTCAGGATCATGCTGTGTAACTCAGCTCAGTTCAGTACTTGCTGAATAAAGGGTACTTGGGTACAGAAGCCAGAACGGTGAACAGTCTTTCCCTGTTTGTTTGGAGTAGAGCTAAGAGTTAAAAGCAGGGCTTCAAACCTGGGATACAGTGGAACAGGAGAATCCACACTTCATTTGAGAAGTCATAAAGGGAAAATGGTCTAGAGTGGCCAGAATATGAAAGATCTCAAGAATGGTGAAACAACCTGCAAAGTCTCACCTCCATAGTAGATGCAGAAATGCACGAAGGGGAACAGATCATGTCACAGAAAGCTCAGAAGGATAAAACAATACAAGAAAACAGCAAGGGCTTACAGGAGAGCAGCCTTCAAGTGCAATAAAGGATCCTACCAATACTCAGAGAAATAAGGAAATGCATTAGAAACCAACATGGAACTCATGATGGTGCACAGTGCAAAAGGTCAACATACCTTGCAGGGCAGGGGGCAGGGACAGGCTGCAAAGGCAAGATCTGGAATCATTATTTGGGCATTCACAACTGGTGTTAGGAAAGCTAAAGATAAGCAGCTGGGACTGACAAGGAAGTCAAGAGCATCAGGAAGACTTTCTACCATTACACAAACAGTAAAAAACTGAATTAAGTCAGCAAACCACTGGGCTCCGTGAGGCCTTCTAAGGAGGGGTTACATGGCTACAGCTGTTTCAGGCTGGAGCTTTGAGGTACCTGATAACATCACATTGCCTTCAGGAAAGGGATGGCAGGGACAGGTTCTTCACAGCAGTGTCTAGCAAGATGGTGAGAGCAGGCATAAACTGAAACAGTATGCTCAGACTTCTCTCTCCTGAGTGCAGCTGCACAGTGGAAAAGGTTGTCCAGAAAGGCTGCAGTGTCATCTCTGTCCTTGAAGGCTCTGAGGTACAAGTGGAAAAGCCTGAGCAGCCTCATCTAACCCCAGACTTGAACGTGCTCCAAGCAAGACCTGGACTAGCAACATCACAAAGTCCTTTCCAATCTGAATTGTCCTGTCACCCTATGAAATAAGAAGGTTCTATTGCACAGGGATGGCAGTCTTTGAGAGCATCATGCTTGAGTGCACTCCAGCTTGTCAAGGTTAGTTTTCTTTTGGGCTGTAATAGGGAAGGATCAGATAACTGAAGATATGAGATTGTTTAGGAGTCCCTTATCTGGATACCTGAAGTCACTCTCCAGGATCTTACAAAACATTTATGTACTAGGATTATTCTTTTACTGTGTTCCACAATACAAAATTTGTCCAGTGAACAGATGAAAGAAACAGACTGTGTTTGACCTATATGACAACTTTAGGAGGTGCATTTCCAATACATTTGATATGCTCTAATTATTTAGGTATTTTAAAAAAACTTCTAGTAATACATGCTGCCAACAAGGCTTATTTGGTATACTAGTTGTGAGAATCGACTTCTTTATTATCCCCTAGACTTTGTGCTCCAAAAGGAATAAGAAGGTGTGAGTGATTCTAATAATTGAGATAGCAGTCACACGGAGCAAGAGACTTGACCAAATGGGTATCCCCACCACCATTACCATGAACCCTCACCCCCTATCATTATGTGATGTTTGTTATATCTATGCTGGATTAAGTAGTAATTAGTCTGTTCTTCTAGCCCCTAAATCCATAGTAAATTTCTATAGCTTTTTTTCATATATATCTTATTTTCTCTGGTAGGGAATTGTAACAGTAGAAACTTACGTAGTTAAAGCTATTGCATGGAACGTATACAGGTGCATCCCTTCAGTGTCTTCTACTCACCTTTGTGGAGTCCCAGGTATACATACAGACAAGGGTTTTGTTAGATTTTTTGAAAGCTCCTGTGTGACTCAGTAAGATGCCCAAGTTATTTGGAAGTTTTCAGGAACTCTTGCCTGTACCCTTACTCAGTAAGGGTATTATTACCCTTACTGTTTCATTGTCACCTTCCTTCCCCACAAGTAGGTCTGTGTTTTTCTCCATGAAGTTAAATATTAAGATTTCTGAATAAAAGGTCTTTTGCTCTTTTCATGATACAATCCGTGCAAGGCTTTAATTTTACAATCATATAATGGATTGGAAGGGACCCAAAGGATCATTAAGTTTCATTCCCCTGCCACAGGCAGGGCCACCAACGTCCAGAAGTGCATCTTCTGTCATATATTGATATACTGTTGGATATTTTATTTATTTCAGTCGCCTGGAATGTGTACTTTAATCATGATTTGCATGAATATATTGACCTTAGCTCAAGAGATGATGTTTTAACAGTTTCTGAGTTTTCCTGTGCTGTTCACACTTCTTTATTTTACAAACCAGAAAAGGTTTGTTTTCCCTACCCTGCTGAGGTCAGGAAATGATGTTTTACCCAGTTTCCTCTGGGGAAATCTAGACTTCATATGCTCAAGATAAAGGGATTATCCTATGAAAACAAAAATAAAGATGACTGTATGGCCCAATAAACTGATCTCGCAATAGAAATTACTCAAAGGGCCATGTGGCATGTCTTGTTACCTGGGTCTTGCAGAAAAGCTGAATCCCAGCCTTCTTTTCTCCCTTTTAAAGCCTTACTTGTCCCAGAGAAAGAGACAACTTCTCCTTTAGCAGATGCCAGTATTAACTGAGGTCCTTCCCATGAATGCATGTACATGCAACAGAAAGGCAACATACAATCCTGTGCCTTTACTGATCACAAACTTCTACCCAGCCTTCTGCCTCTCCCATCTGACTAAGTTTCATGGCTCTGATGGGTTTATTCATCCTCAAGCCAGCAGAAATGGAGGCACCTGAATCTGCTGGCAGGCTGACCAGCCTCAGTGCCTTCCCTTCTGCCTCTGCTTCTCAGAAGGCAGTTTCAGGGGGTTCACCTAGTAGAGGCTGGAGCCCTTGGCATACAAAGCCCATTGTATCATAGACTGAGAGCTCTTACTACCCCTGTGATACTGGTAGTGACTAAGAAGCTTCTGGAGAAATGTACAGGACACAGAGGTGACTTTCCCTTCCTGTTGCTACTGTCTCACTCAACCTCAGAAATAACACACTGTCAAGACCAACATTCTCACTTCTTATGTTAAATGTCATAATATCCAGCCAATGTCTCTCTGTGCCAGCTCATTGACAGGACAGTCCCACAGCAAACAAGCAATCTCTCCTTTCATATCAATTCACCTTATAGAACAACAGTGAATTCCTCACCTTCCTTGTTATTTAACACTTTAGAAAGAAGAAATTAATGAAAAAAAATGATTCAATCCCTCTGGCATTCTTGCACGACCTTGTGAAAACCACTTAATCCTTCATAGCTTCTTAACTCCTCTGGATTTCCTATATTGTCTTCAGAGTTATTTAACAATGGCCAAAAAGAGAATTGACTAGAAGATTCCTGGTTTGGATTTTACAAGGCTATTTCTAGCTTTAGAGACTTTCAACCAGTCATAACAACTGTTTTGTTCTCAGTATAGGTTCTGCATTCCTAAAAGCATTTCCCCAAAATATAAGCACCCGTGAGCTTCATCACTGTAGTAACTTCTATAGTTGTAGGTTGAATCTTGCTGTTTAGACAATGATGGGAATTTCTTGAGTGATTTATTCAAGCCTCACCACTTTGCTCTCATGTTCATGTTCAACTTAGTTGGGACAAACACCACTGGTCATTTCAAAAGAACAGTGTGCAATTGCACCAATGGAAGCTCTTTGTATAGCTTGGTGAGGATGACCTCAAGCAGAAATTGAAGATTTAGTGTTGTTTAAAGGCTAAAGACATATTTTTTTTGATTCCCTGTGGATTCAGTTATGGTAGCAGGACTCTCCAATGCTGTTGGAGAGATGTTCATTAAAATTTTCTATATTTTAGCAAAAACATGTCTTTAATTTGTCTCAAGGAGTACAATAGAAAATCTCCAGTAGTGCATAACAGAGGATGTGGAAGAGGAAAAACTTCTCTTTAGCCAGCTGCAAAGACATCTTCAAAAGCTTTCTGTGGGCAAAGCTTCATCCAGAGAGCTGTCAAATTAACTCAGTGAACCCAGATTAAGTGAACCCAGAGCCCAGGCTGAGTATTATTCCAGTATCTCACCTGTTCTCATGCACTGGTTGTGCTCTTCTTTGTGATTTGCCTGGCCAAACCTCCAAGCTACATTGATCTGGAGTCCCTTTAATTGTTACAGTTACCAGACTATCTGATATTTCCAGAGCCACCTTATGCCAGGTTGTTTTGTTTGTTTGTTTGTTTGTTTGTTTGTTTGTTTTGCTGCATGAACACAAATAGTAAAGCCCAAACAGAGGTTTATTCCTAACACTGATGAAATGCAGAAGTATAGGAAGAAAAAGAGTCAAAAGAGCTTTGAACAGTTCTTGAGAAACACTGTATTTTTTGCATAGAGCAGAGAAAATCAACCTACCTATTAGTGGGACTGAATCAGAAGTTGCAGGCATGATCTCAGCCACTAGCAGCATGAATACAGTCAGGGAAAGCAGAACAGTGATACCTGCAGGGAGTGAACATGGAGAGGAAAGATGAGGAACACGATTGCTGCAGCTCCTCCTCTGATGTCTTTTCTGTTAAATATAACTTTGTCTTTTTTTAAGGGAAGCAAATCCATGAATTCATGCTTGTCAGGGCAGGTGAGAACTTCTACCAAGTAATAGCATCTTTGGATATATCTTTATCTGCTCTCTTTCCACTTCTCAATTGCACCCAAACCTTTGCTTCTCTCAAAGTGAAGGAGATTCTTTGCTGCACAGTGAAATGGAACTTGCAGAATGGATAAAATATACTGTTCTTGCCAAACAGAGCTTACACAAAACCCAGACAACTGTTCAAGGTGAGGAGAGACTTGTTTCAACTATTACATGTTATATAACATTCTCAATAGAGCTGCAGCATGTTACAAAAGTAACTGTTATTTTGTTCTCTCTGGAAAGGCTGTTTGCAAAACCGAGCTGCCCTGTGCTAAGAAATTGCCTTCTATTTCACGTGTTCAGTGCATGAATATTACACTCTTTTTTTGTGCTTTAACTCAAATAATTCTTCTCCTTGTCTGCATCCTGTTTTCCACAGTCAGCAGTCATATCCCTCATAGCCCATGTTTGCTTCTTGAAATACTGGCTGTTCAGGGCTCTGCTGTTTCTACTAACCATGTGCATTCAATACTATTTCAGCATCTTTGTCCTGATCAGATTTGTACACAACTGATTCTAAAGGTCTTGCCTGGGTCAATCTCATATATTTTCAACTTTCTCTTGGAAGTACCCCTCCTGCCTATATTGATACACATGACAGTGCATCTCATTTAGCTCTTCCTTGGCTGTCATTACTTTGCATTCATGGGGAACTCGTAGCTTGGAGGTTTGAGAGCTGTACTTGGAAGGTGAAAATTCAGTGCCAAGCCACTTCTCCTGACCCTCCACTCTCTGTTTCTTACTATGTCCTATCTGAAAAAGGGAGTTAATCAGCTGTGAAATGCACTTAGATGTGCTTAGGAACAGAATGACAGAGGGGATGGAGAACTACCATTGCTTCTTCTGCCAGTGAAAAATTCTACTTCATTCCAGAGTGGAATCCAAAGTATTTAGAACTGTATGTGTGAATGCTATGCATAAACTTTTCCTCCTGTTTCTGCAACTAAACAAGTGCTTCTGTTGCTCCTCCAGGGAAATCTTTATTCATCAAAAACCATGAGGTATTATTTGCAATTTTATGGGAAGTACACAAGAAATAAGTGAATTCTTTAGCACTTACCTAAAGAAATCTTCTCTCCTGAATCAGCAGGCAAAAGGAAAACAAGCAGTGCCAAGCCAGATATGAGAACACAGGGAATCAGTAGGTTCAAACCATAGTAGAGAGTGCGTCGGCGCATGGTGATGGTGTATGTCACATCTGGATATGGTTCTTTACAGCATTCATAGTACAACTCATTCCTTTTTCCTGGAACACCTGCAGAGAGGGAGATCAGAGTAGTGAGCAGTGGCACAGGACTGCTCACCATCCACTGCCCAGATAGTCTCTCAATGGCATTGAAAGGACCTCCAGAGATTCTCCACACTCCCACTCTGCTATAAACAGATCCAACCTCTGCTACCACCCTGTTGCTTATGTGTTTTCTTCCTCAGGCTTTAGGCAAGTGATGGGATGAGGAAAAAGAAACAAGATATCTCCTGTGCTGGCTACAAACTGCTTCTTTCTTCAAAGAGGAGCTAGTGTGTGGTAAAGGCCAGCTGGCTCTACCTCCAGGCATCCAAGCCTCAGTCTGCAGCAGGGAACTAGTCTGGCTCTTAAGGCTGTCAGCAAGAGGGAGAAAGTATTTCCCCACCTCTCCATGGGATCTCTTATTGTTCCATGCATCCAGGCATGGAACAGAAGATGCACTGAAGCGTCCTGTGGCAACTGAGAAGGGAGAAAATAAATACCTAAATCAGCTACAAGGCAAAAGTCATTTTCTAACACTTGTAGCCACTAGTGCACATATGGCTGGGTAGATTTAATGAGACCAGGGACAACATGTCTCAGCTCAGTGTTGTTTGAAAGCTGAAATATATCATTACAGGGTTAAATCAGCCAAGGCTGACTCTAAAGATCTCAGTGTCTTCAGGAACATCTGAAATGACAGTGCAAGTTGCCTGCTGTTCCTAATTCACCTTCTGTGTTTTCTAGTATTTACATTCATACTTTCTGAATTATTAGAACCTGAATCAGTCAAAGAAGCTCATCTAATCCAGTTCAAAATTAGTCTCAGCAACCCAGCCTCAAAATGGGAAGATCTGCAAACAGAGGCCACAAGATAGCACAGCTAAACACGATTCTGGCTTCCTGCAGCTAGGCAATGATTGCTAGCTTTTGATGTCATGCACACCAGCCCATGCGTCAGATAGTTTTCAAAAGTGGTCAAATCAAGCTTATATTCTGTCGTATATGAAGGCTAAGATACATTGTTATACAACATAGCTGTACTGTAGGGTCAGCAATGGCGACCTAGTTGCAGTAGAGTGTCCAAGTGGCTGTATGGCAGGGACTGCAGCAGGATACATGTCAAGGACAGATGGAATAGTTTAGCACCTTGCATGTTTCATGCCTCCACTCTTTTTCTCTGCTACTGTTCACACGACAGAAGGTACAGTGATATGTAAATGTCAGCAGGAGAATAGCAAAGCCTCCATAAAGGGCTGTCTGGGGTACTACCAAACACTTTCACCAAATGAGCTGATTAAGGAATTAGGAATTAAGTTCTGTCCAAAGGCAAGTAAAACAGAGGCCAGTCACTTCACCAGATATGCAAATTTTTTTGAACAGAAATGACCACTGTATCAAAGCACTGGAAAGTTAGAAATGCACTGGAATGAACTAATTGTAGGACTTTCCTATGGAGTCCTCCAGCACTCCTGAATACTGATTATGTTTCTTGTTTTATTCTCAGATGCCCTGAATGGCATATTCAGCTGTGCTGGGTTAGTTATTTCCTTCATCAAATATCTGGACTAGAAAAAAAAAAAAAAAAAAAGGCTGCAAGTTACCATTAATGTGGTCTGAACTCTGTCCACTTCCATAGCTTGACTTCTGATTTACACCTATTTAGATGAGTTCAAAATAATTCACTAGGAGCTAGCTATGAATAACTAATTCTGGACACAAGTTCCTCATTTAAAAATACAAGTACATCCTAAAACACAGAAAAGGAGACACACTAAGCTGCAGTTATTTCCAGATATTACAGACTGCTAGAGGCTTTGATGGTTTTCAGAGTGAACAGGATAATCTCTGTAAAAGCTAATTCCAGTTTTGCTGAAATACCATTTTTTACACCAATCAATTCTTGAGTGATGTGTTTGAGTAGATGTGACAGTAGCGTTCAGCGTGTCTACATAAGACACATCCAAGTACAGTTCTGACAAACTGCTCAGATGCATCAGCACCACTAGATTTCATTTGTGCACTTAGATTTAGGCAGTTGCTTCAGAACACAGTGTTTTCAGACATGTTTCAAAGAATGCACTTGAAAAGTTGTATCTCATCTGTGATTTTTTCTTCTTTTTTTTCATGTAAAAAGTTTTACATGAAAACTTTCATATCTGTATTTCGAATGTCATGATAGAATTAGTAATTTGTATATATTTGGGCTCTGCCTTTGAAAATTAGAGTACTGGAAAAAATGTAGGAAAGTCAATTTACCCACTAAATCCCACTCTCCATTTGAGATGTAGTTGGAAATATCAGCTTCAAGCATCTGTAGGTCAATCAGCCAACCACTGTGAGTCCAAGAGCCAAACTTCAAATCACACTTCTGCACATCAAAAGGGAACCAGCGGACATCAATGTAACATGTACTCTTCAAAATGCCTATGGATAAAAATCAATCAGAATCAAATATGTGCAGGGTTCACCTCCACCCTTAAATTTTAGACTGACTGTGAGCAACTTTCTTCTCCAAAAACTTGCATGACATAGTCATGGTGTAATGAAACAGCAAGCACAGATGAAAGATGCTAGCATAAATGCCTTCCTGGGACATTGGTGAAGATCCCTCCCTTCTTCACTGCATCCTTGAATAAGGTTGTCCAGAACACAATGGCTACATGAGAGCTGCTCTCTTGGTCTGGCTGGCCTGAGGATCACATCCAGATTTTACTCTGCATGTTTCTAATCCACTGTTTTTATTTGATATTAAGTAATGGAAGATGTTAGGATTTGTTGCATACTGTTGTATACTGTAAAGCTACTGTCTAATTTGGTTTACTTCTTTATTTGTATTCAGCTGGAAGAAGAGATTAAACTAGGGAATGCTCCAGACTTTATTATTGGGGCCCCAAGCTGTAGTTGCAAGATTTTCCCAGCTGTCCAGGAGAAAAGAGAGCCCAGAGCAGGGGGAAGATGATCTATTTACACAGCCCATAGCACGAGAAGCTGGTGGCAAAGCAGAGGTCATCCCTACAAACCTTCACCTCTGCAGACCTGGGGCTATGCAGCTTTCACTTTTGCTCTCCAACTTCCCTGACCTGGCCAGCACGAAGGTGATGGAGAAGCAGCTTCTGATTCAATGGAAAGTTACCTCCAATGCTGCACTAAGATGATCTGCTTGCAGTAATTGTTTCTGCGTGCTCCATAAAATACCAGCTAATGTGAATCTTAGCTCTGAAACACCTAGCCAATTTGTGTTTGCTGTAAGTGCTCAGGTTGTGCCTTTTGAAGATAAGATCTCCCAAACTGAGATCATGTGTTAGTTTCTTTCTGCTGCTGTAAAAGCTGGGGACATTGTGGCTTAATAGTGTGGTGTGTGCATTTCTCTGCACAAAAACTGATGCTCAGCTAGATTCTATCCATTTGCTCTGTTGCCTTCTGGTAGATCTGCCTCCCACTGTCATGGCCATTTTTGGATGGGTTACACTGGGTGTTTTCTCCCAGATTCTCCTCAGTCTTGGCTCTGCTACCTTCCTTCACAACAGCCAGCTGTCCCCTCCTTGTCCTCTCTCTCTGCTCCTCCACTGAGCCATGTATAGCAGAGCTTGTTTCTCTAATGGAGAGCATCAGTGAGCACAGCCTGCTTGCAGAGTCATGGGAAATAAAATTTTAATGAAGCCTTGGAAACACCATCTTTTTGCCTCTTCTGTGTTTTCCAATGTCCTGATTAATCTAGCTGCTTCTGTGAGTACTTGTTGCATTAAGTAGGCTGATTATCAACATTTGCCTTCTAAAATGGATTGGGCAAAGCAGTTTAGCAGCAGTTAAACTCCTGTAAGAAATTTGATTTTTATGCTTTGCATGAGACATTTCCTTTACTTCTTATTCTCTCTTTTCTACTTGCAATTCTTCACCACAGAGTTTGTAGCTCACTGCAGACATACTCAGCACGTGTGGTATATATTCTGCCCTCTTAGTTGAAAACAAACTAGCAGAGCACCAGATCTGCCTATAAATGCACATTCTCCATTGCCTTACTGTACAGAACCAGGAGAAACAGGGAAGGTCTGTTCTGGTGCATGGTTGATTTTATTCCTGTCAACTATTGCTCTCTGGAGAGCAAACATTCCCATGGGTCTGTCCATGAAAAAAAAACAAAAATGCTTTAAAAGATCTCAAAGGTAGGGATCAACAGAAGATCAACCATCAGGGAATACCCACTTTTACCTTGACGGCTCCTATGGTTGTGCTTGGCATTAGTATTCTAGCGTACGGCACAAAGATTGGACATTTACTGTCCATCAGAGGCTGTGATGAAGGGGACAGCTTGTGTGTTTGCTGTGGGTCCTGGTTGCTTGGACACTGAATTAGCAGTACAGATGGAAAGCAGAATGTGTTTTGGGTCCAGCTCCACAGGGCTGGTCTCAGTTCATCTTTTCTTGATGAACTCATGGAGATGGAGGTTCAGCCTCACAGAGTAAAGCATGCTGCAGAGAGATTGCTGCTCCTGGTTACCTCCTGTTGTCATACTTCCCTTCAGTCTCAAGAAAGAACTAATTGGTTTGCATAATAAACTTTTCTCTGTGATAACATGATGTGAGGTACCCAACACCTTGCCTAGATAATACCTCAGATAGACCTCTGAGTGATCAAACTACTCAGCAGATTCATGAAGTGGAAATATGCTACAAGTCATAGAGCTATATTACTTAATGGATCTGTCTCACAATAAAGTTATATATCCTGCAAAATTGCTGTGGACTGCTTCTAAATGCTTTGATTTCATCTATGAATGAAAACTGCTTGTAGTTATTCAAAGCTATACATTGAGCAAACAAACACAGTCTGCATCCTACCTGGAGGAATATATTGACAGGATCCAGAGTAATTCACCAGCACATTTGTGTGAAATGTTGCATCGAATCTTTCATCCGCACTACAGCACAGCACAAACAAAACAAAGGAAAGAAAAAGCAAGCTGATGTTTAAGATGTAGCAACTTCCAACAGAAAAAAAAAAAAAAAGAACCTCTTTAGTGAGAACTCAATGCACAGAATGTCTGAATCAAGGTCTGGCTTATGCCCGGGTGAAGAGCCCAGTACCTTTTTTTCTAATAGATACTACTGGCCTGCACCCAAAAATGCCAATGGCTTGCTGTAATGTCCTCAGAGAAGCAAGATGCAGGGCTGTTAGATGTCTTGGGGCAAAGGCAGAAGGGAAAGGAGTAGAAGTATTACAGTTTTTGAAGTTTTAAGGCAGTTTCAAAGTCTGAGTTGTTGGCAGGGTGAAGCTTTTCTATGGCTGCTGTCAAAATCAGGCAGCTCACAGTATAATTTTTTACCTAAATATTTGTTGTAAGAGCAATGGTGCCTTGAGACAATAACTCTTCTGTCTCTTAGGATGCTTAGGGGCCAAAACTTTGCTTCAGGCAATGGAGGAAGGTGCTGGAGAGAAGCTGTTTCAGATTTGGGGCTTGTAGGAGGGTATTGATTGAGACTTTAAAAGCAGAAACCTGGTGAAAGGGACCAAGAAATGAGAATTTATTTAGGATTCCAGTGATTCTGAGAAAAGGAAGGGAATAATGACCTGAGCAAGAATACTGTTCAAAGCAGGCTTGAGGGAGTGTTCCAGTTTAAATATAGAAGGATCCCCGTGTTGGTTCCTTGCCTATCATGGCTACGTGCAGTTCCATGTTGCATGGCTCTCCCATCTCAAACACCCTGTCTTGCCACCAATCATGGAAAATTCCAGTCTCCATTCCTCCTTTGGCTTGTTCCTTGTTCAAAGAAAGCTGAAAGTAACTTTCTGGCATGGGTGCTCCTGATATAAGTGGGGGAGGGGAAATGCTAGAGAAGAAGACCACAAACCGAACACACTGCACCCTGCTCTCATGTCAAAGGGTGAAGAACAATGTCTTCTGCATCACGATCCTCTACATTAGGGCTTGAAAATCAAGAACTGAACACTGGAAACATGGGACCAGGAATGACTGAGTCAGGAGGAACATAATCATCAACAGAAATCAGTGGGGATAAAAGTGAAAAGACTAAGGTGCAGAATGAGTGATAACACAAAAGGCCACAAGAAAGGCTTTCTTAATAGAAAGAAGAAAACAAGGGAAAGACAAAGGGTGAGGTAGACTCGCTGCTTGCTGTGAAAGAAAAGGAATCAACAGAGTACAGGGAGCTGCAGTATTCTGTACCTTCTGCACTTCACTCTTCAGGAATTGTGGCTCACCACAACTAACTCTCACACAGTGCTCAGAGTCCAAGGCAGGAGAGGAAAGGAAAGCATTAAAGAAGTGTAGAAAAGACAGGCTCCAGTTGGCAGCACTGATGAAATTTACTCTCGAGTACTGAAGGTAGCTGAAATATTCTCTGAAGCATTAACAAAGGAAAGGGCTCAGTGAATTAGAGAAGTTCAAAGAGAATTCTGATTTGTTTTTTCTTTTTTTGTAAAAAGGTGAAATTATAGACACATCATCCTAACTTCAAAGACAATGAGGTAAAAACAGCTGGCACGGATTTGTCAAGGGCCAATTGCATGAAATCAATCTAATTTTCTTACTGAGTAATTCAATAAAAGGAAGTAGAAGATATATCTGAACCTCAGAAAGCCCTTCCTGTGACATATTCTTATAAACAAACTAAAATAATATGGACCAGATAATATGCATCATTTTTGGAGACTGAAAATTTATAAAGAGGCTGTAAGTAGTAAAGTTACAGTAAAGAATAGCACCTGAACAATTTTCAGGTCACTTCAAACCTCCTTCAGATATCTTATCGTTGTTGCTTGGAAGGGGAAACAGCAGAAACCAGAAGAAGGAAAGCCAATCCAGGCAACTAGAAAGGATTATATTTAAAACTGACTGAAAAGGACAGGTCAGTGAAAATCTTGCAAGGACTAAGGAAAAAATAAGCCCAAAAATATGACATTAGAGCAAAAGAAGAACCCCTTCCTCCCAGAAAGCAATAAAGAATAGTCTGTATACAGAACTTCCATTTAATCCAACAGTGCAATAGTGCTGACTAGAGTGCTGGACTCCATAATGGAAAAGAAAAAAAGGGGTTCTAGAGGGTTTTGGGGAGCCAAGGAATGATGAAAAGGTGGGGTAATGGAGAATATGCAAAGAAACAGATTATTTATTTCAAGCAGGAAGAGTATAGCACAAGCAATTTTCCAGCAGAGGTATGGTAATTATAAGGAGAATATGGATTGTTTTCACATTCACTGGGAAAAGAGAAAGAAGACATCTATAAAACTACAGAAAGCATGACTTAGAGTGACTACTAGAAAATCTACTAACTTGCATTTGTTTGCTTTTATATTTGTTTTTTCAAGAGTAGCAGAGAAAACCCTAGAATATCAGTGCAGCATGGTTGTTTACTAGTGCTCTACTTCTAGGCTCCGACTGCCTATTGTGCATATTGCTTACCTGTTATAGAGAAGAATATCAGGTACCCAAATCTGGTCAGCTGGAAATCGCAAGTTCTGCACACCCGGGTATTCGTACTGATCCCAAGACAAGTAAATATCAACCCAGTACTGTTGGAAAATACATACATCAGATTATACAAGCTGGTAAAGGTCTTTTAAGCTATTTGGAATATTATGGGAGCAGAATGGATATTATCAGTAGTGATAGCAGTAGTGTGATAATAGTTTAATGCTAGGCTTTAATTATTAAGAACGGTTGGCATATAGAGAGAGGAATTTGCAGGTTGATGACTCAGTGTTGTTAGCTGCTGTATTTAATTTAGTGCCTCGCCACTCCACTCTGAGACATGAGCCAGACATCTCAAATAATTTGAGAAAGGCTCAGGAACAACTTTTGTGCTGAAAGTGACTTACAGAAAAACCCTATGGTAGGATAGCAAGAGTGTTCTTGGTGCTATAGCTAAAGACACTCTCTGCTAAGAACAAGATACATGCAAGCTCTGCTGTGATGATACCGTAATCCCATATGTTGGTTTGGTTTAGTTTTTGCAATAGAAAAAACTCATTTCTGCTTCGAATCCCAACAGATATCTGTGGAATAAACAACCTATTCAGTTGCACCCATTAACTTGACGTACTATTTAGCTGCTCAAATCAAAGCAGAATTAGCTCAATCATTCAAGTCTCCCACAGGTTTTTCCCTGCTGAGCTTCGTCTTTGCTGAGCACAAGCCATTAAGGAGATCAGTTTATGCTCCATAAAAATAGATCATATCTCTTACCACACACAGCCAGCAGCAGATGCGGTAGGAAGTTCCCTCCACCAAAGCCCTAAATGAAGATCAGTTTTGCTTATCCTGCATGACCACTTCAGGTCACTCTTCGGTAGGAGCAAGTTGCAGGTGAGGTAGGAGGTGTGTTTAAAAATGAGGTTTTTAAGTGGAAGGGAAGACAGTGTTCCAAGGAAGCTGTCCCACCAATGAGCTTGGGCACTGCTGATAGCAAACCAGTACACAGATGAATGCAGTTCTCAGTATCTGGCGTGCATGCTAGAGTGCCCTGCATTTTCAAGGGATACCCTAGCTCCCAATTATAGACATCTCAGAAGTGATGAGAGCAGCATAGCCAGGTCTAATGAGGTACCTGGCTCCTTCACTACAAGAGCCCAGCTCTACTGTTGGAGGGGCCCTGAGCCTCTTGAAGAGTCTCCAGCTATAATGGGGGCCTTGCTTTGAGCTGTCTGTTACATGAATCATAGTGATTCTATGATTCTATGATTCTATGATTCTATGATTAAGATCCCTATGTCCAACGGCCTAACAGTGTGGTTAGTATTACTTCCCAAGGTCTGCTCAGAGTGTGAATACAGTCTCCTCTTGTTTTCACTGCAAGAAGGAGCACTAGAAAAATGTCAGAGACAAGTTAAAAGGCAGCAATCTTGCTTTCCAGTTAAGAAATCACATTTGGTAGTTTGCTATTAGGAAGGTTTTTTTATTCTTTATTCATACAGGTTACTCACCATCTGCAGCCAAGCATTTGTAATCAACACCTGATTCTTCTCATCCTTAGAGAAGGAAAAGAAAAAGAGAAAAAGAAATTAGACTCATGGATTACAGGTGGAAGACTTCCTTTGAAAACCCACTTCTTGGATTAAATAAACACAAACTTTTTGGAGTAGATTGTGAGCTCAGTGCAAAATTATTCAACTGCATTACATAACTGAGACAATAATGGCTCTTTTCTACCTTTTGAAACTACAGACCTCCTGAATTTATCATAACTGATCAACATCAGAAGTTAAGAAAATAGACAATGACTGTCATTTTGCTGGAGACCATTGGATTGCTTACCAAATACATAAAATTTTCCTTTTGTCTAGTTGGGCAAAACAAGATATTACTAGTAACATACAACATGTGGTAACTTGAGTGAGTTTATATCATATTTACTGTCTCTGCAAAATAGGGGAAGTGCTCTTTCTTTGGAGTCTTGGCAGGCTATTGCTTAGCTCAGGATGAATTGGAAGGACTGAGCTTGTGGAAATGCTAGCACACGACAGCAAGCCGCAGACATCTGAAAGGGAGCTCTTGAGGTACCCACGCAGAGCAGGGGATTTGTATGTTCAGCCACCAGCATGTAGATGCTACTGGGAAGCAGCTCTGACTCATGACAGAAATGAAGAAGCCTCCTTAGGGGGCTACAGTTTGCCCAGTTTGCTGCAGCCAGCCTGCAGGTACAGGATCCTGTGGTGTTATCACCATAGCAAATATGGAGAAGCAGTTCCTTACTCAGATCCACACCTTTGCTTTGCACAGCTCCAGATACTGCCTCAGGTGTGTACTTGCCAGGAGCTGAGAATGAGGTACTCAGTATTGTTGGCCCACTGGATGCCCAGTTGTTTCCAGCTTGGACTCAGCTGGATCCTCAAGAAAGGGTGTGAGGCTGTAGTAAGTCTGACTGATGCAGCCATTTTCCAAGGAAGCCATATTCCTGGCCAAAAGGTATACCAACCTGAAAGCAGCGTTTTCCCCCTCTGCTTCAACTCAGCTCTCTTGGGCACGCGTTAGAAGGAACAGCTATGGCCTGACCCAGGTGATTCCAATACTTTCAGTGTGTGCTCTCCCAGGCTGTCACACCCTACAGTGCATTAACTTTCCTCCCCTTTCTTCAGTTAGGGATCATAGATTATGCTAAGTTGGAAGGAAATCACAAGGATCACAGAGTCCAACCCCGACTCCACACAGGACCACCCAAAATCTAAACCCTATGTCTGAGAGTGGTGTCCAAGCATTCCTTGAACTCCCTGAGCTCAGGGCTGTGCCCATTTGGATGCAGGCCTCTGGTGCAGACCCTTTTCCTGACCCCCAGCTCCCTCCCCTGGCACAGCTCCATGCCATTCCCTCGGGCCCTGTGGCTGTCACACAGAGCAGAGCTCAGCGCTGCCCTCTGCTCCCTGTGAGGAGCTGCAGCCGCCATGAGGGCTCCCCTCAGCTCCTCTGCTCTGCACTGAGCACATCCAGGGACTTCAGCCACTTCTCACACACCTCCTCCAGACCATTCACCATCTTCATAGCCCTCCTCTGGACGCTCTCTAATAGCTTTCTGTCCCTTCTGTACTGCAGCACCTGCACGCAGTGCTGTTGGTGGGGCCGCACAGCGAAGAGCAGATGGAGCAGCCGCTCCCCTCGACGAATGGCCACGCTGGGCCTGCTGCAACCCAGGGTATGGTTGGTCCTTTGGGCTCCAGGGAACACTGCTGGCTCATGTTCAACTTACTGTCAGACAGAACTCTGTGATCCCTTTCTGGGGGACTTCTCTCTAAGCTCTCATTCACAAGTCTGCACATAAGTCCAGGGTTGCTGCAACCCAGGTGCAGAATCCGGTGCTTGCTCTACTTAAAATTTATGTAGTTGGTGATTGCCCAGCCCTGTAATTTGTCAAAATCTCTCTGCAAGGCCTCTCAACCCTCAAGAGAGTTAATGTCATCTCTAAACTTCCTTACTATACCATACAGTCCTGTATCCAAATCATTGGATTAAAGACAACTTGCCCTAAAATTGAGTTCTGCAGACCCCCACTATTGACTGGTAGCCAGCTTGATGTAAATGCGTTTACTACAAGTCTTTGAGCCCAATCTGACAGCCAGTCATTCACCCACTCCTTTTTGTCTACCTTTACCTTGGGCATTTTTCTTATAAGGATAGTGTAATAAGCAATATGAAAAGCTTTGCTGAAATCCAAAAAGTTTACGTCATCTGGCTTTCTTTGGTCAACTGAATGATTAACTTTGTCGTAAAAGGAGATTAAGTTCATTAAGCAGGATGCTGTAAATGTGAAGTACGCTTTGGGTCCTGAGACATGACTCTTCCTCAAATTGTGCTCGGGCAGATTCGGTTTGGATATTAGGAAAGATCTCTTCTGTGGAAGAGTGGCCAGGCACTGGAATGGGCTGCCCTCAGAGGTGGTTGAGTCACTATCCCTGGAGGTGTTCAAGAAACATTTAGATGTGGTACTGAGGGTTTAGTTGTGGTAGGTGAATGGTTGAACTAGATGATCTTGGATGTCTTTTCCAACCTTGGTGATTCTGATTCCATAATTTATTTTGAGGCAATTTTCTGCTTGTTTTTATTTCTCCTGCTCTTCCAAAGCCAAGAAGAAATATCAAACACAGAGCTCATACAGAGAGCAGATCAATTAGCTGCATTACAAGGAAGATACGGAAATCTCTGATGGAAAGAGAGATGTTCTAGCATTAGCAAGGCTGCTGTAAAACTGCAGAAAATCCTTTGACTGAGCTGTAGTGATCAAACCTCAAGGTTCATTGCAGAAGTCACCAATGGCATGAAGTAGTAAACACTCATGACCACTGTTCAGCAAGAACAGACAGACAGAGAACTTCACCAAGATGCAAGATGATGTGGTGGCCTAATAAATTTCTAAAGAAAATCTATTGGTTATGGTTTCCATTTAATCAGATCCAAAAATGTCTGGTCTCCAAAATCACAAGATAAATCACAATCCTTAAGTAGCCTGGGCTTTTTGGATCATGCTGATCCTTAATTATACTATTTTGGCAATACTTACGGGTTAATACAGGTAGTGAAACCACCTTATTCACTTTAGAAAAAACTACCAGTCTGCTAACTTTAAGCTACTTTCATGCTGTCTTTCTTTCCCACTCCTGCTCCAGACATGCAATGAAACTAGTGAAGAAGCATCAGGAAAGATGAGAGCTACTCAGAAGCAGACTGTCACACATTGAGCTGCATCTGTAGATGTGTTTTCTTCAATGAGAGCTCTGAGTTTACCTCTTGTGTGTCCCACACTTAAGCTATTGTGTGGCTGCAGGCTTGCAAGCTAATGCATGAATTAAAGGCACATGGAGAAGACTTTTCTGTTTTTCTCTGGCAAAAAAGATACTGGATTACTAGCACTACTGAATCCCTAGCATAAACTTGTTTATATCATGTTTCCCTCTTCTCTCTTATTTGTCCTGTTGGAACTGCAGAAACATCCCATCCTGGAGAGGATGAAGTCATTGATCTGTGGGACTGCCAGTGGCTTTGGTACTGTGGGCAGAGACATCTTCTGCTAAATGTCTGTCCTAGGAAAAGGAAACATCAGGCATGACACAAACCTTTGCTATAGTCATCTGTGCAAAACTGTACATCATGTCATCTCCTCTGATGCTCCCCTTGCCTCCTCTTGAGAACACTCTAAACTGCTTCTGCTGCTGAAAGATATCACACAAAAATCAGCTTAGATTTTATATCCTGTTATAGTAGTAATACATTGATTCAGTAGAGCTATTTGTTTCGACAGATATGGGAAACGACCACAATTCAAGAGCACCAAGGATGTGTCCAGGGATCCTCAAGGCTCTTTCTTCTAGACTGATGCCCACCTAACCATTCCTGTGACTTCTGGGCATGGTGAGCATGGTGATTGTCTGAGTTGCTTAGTAAAATCTAGCTATATTTTGTACAGCTAATGAATCAATAATTGCTTTATAATTCCAAACTGCAGTGCATGAAAACAATGAGGGAAGGCAGGAAACTGGAATAGCTGAGTGGACACCTGCTGGAGGATTCAAGCTAAGACAAAAAAGAAATGTACAGGCAGTAGAAGTAGGGACACGTGGCCTGGGAAGAGTCCAAGGATGCTGTCCAGATGCAACTGAACCTGGAAAAGGATGTGGAAAAATAGAGAAAATTGATTTTATAGATACATTAGCCAGAAGAAAAAGGCTAAGGAGTATCTGCCCCCTCTGAAAACTGGCATGCCTCTCATGTCTCTGAACCTCTAAGCATAGGCTGGATGAGCTCTCCCACTGAAAGTGAAGAGCAAGTTCAAGGTCACATGATAAAGATGAATGTGTACAAGTCTGTGTGGTCCAATGACACGCATCCAAGTTCCTGAAGGAACAGGCTGATGTAGTTGCCAAGCCATTCTCCATCACATTCAAAAAGCCATGACTGTCAGGCAAACCAGAATCTGGAAAAAGGGAATCATCACTCCCATTTTTTAAGAAAAAGAGAAAGGAAGACCCAAGGAACTACAGGCTGGTGATCCTCATGCCTGTGGCTGGGAAGATCATGGAGGAGATCCTGTTGGAAGATATGTTAAGGCCCATGCAAGAAAATGAGATGATTAATGACAGCCTGACCAACTTAAGCAAGACAACATGTTGTGCCTGATCAAACTGGTTGCCTTCTACATTGGAGTGAATGCACTGATGGACAAAGGAAGGGCAACTGATGTCATCTAGCTGGACTTCTGCAGGGCTTTTGACATCCTTATCTCTAAACTGGGGTTGAAGCAACCCCTGATGTGTACAGACTTGAAGAAGAACTCCATGTGAGCAGTGAAGAAGGACTTGGAGGTCTTCATGGATGAAAAGCCGGCCAGCTGTGTACACTTGCAGCCTGGAAGCCCAACTTCTTGGGCTGCATGAAAAGGGGGGTGGCCAGCAAGGAGAGGGAGAGGGTTGTCTCCTTCTGCTCTGCTCTGCTCTGCTGTGCTCTCATGAGGCTCCATCTAGAGTAATGAATACAGACCTTGGTC